TTAATAAATCGACATCAAAATTAAGCGTCACTTCTAGAAAAAAAAAAAAAACAAAAATAATAATAATAATCTCCAACAGTCGTGTTAAATCATCCCTTAGTAGCTAAACGAGGTATTAAGCATTTTTGTTGTATTCAAGTAAAAATAAGGTCATTTCTTCCAACAATGTTATGAAACAATACGTTTCTACTCGCACAACAGAACGATGCTCGAATTATCGAGACAAACATCACATCTTAGAAAATGTAAGAGGAAGAAATGTAACACATGTCAACCTTAAGTTTTGTTTCCTATAAAAAAGTAACTTCTCACGATACGCGGTTCTGTAACACCAAGTTAACATCTGCATTTAGTATAGCTTTTAATAACTTTTTTTTTTCAAGGTGGAAGCAATGGTGGTGGTGGAGGAGGTGAGAATTTGGGATGAAATCTGAAATGCTTTTAAGTAAAAATACATGCAAATACAGCTGTTTCGAGAAAGGTTGTCGGAACAATTTGCACGCGACAATCCCGAAAGGTAATACAGGATAAGATCTATACAGTGTTCCTGGCACTGTAGCTGTCAAATCCACCTTTGTTGCTTTCCTTTAGTTTAGCACTCGCAAGCATACGTTCGTGGGCTTTTGTGCCATTGTTGCTTTTGTTTGAAAAACAGTAAACTCAAAACCACCAACAATACCTTTGGGAATTGTCGCGTGTACTTTTTCCGACAACCTTTCTCGAAACAGCTTTATGCATAAGTCACATCCTCAACAGTTTCTACGAGGTGTGGACTTTCACTTTTCATTACTTCTCGCGAGTGTATATCTCTTTTCTTTTTCGTTTCTTCTCTTTTAGGCCTTTAGTTTATTGGTTAATGAGGCCTACTCCAATTCATAACTAAAATACCTTATAAATAAATGCTTTAAAAATCCCTCCACAACGAAAGAAGCATAAGTTTCAAAGCATCATCTAAGCCCTCGGATGTACGGGGGAAGGGTGTTTGCCACCCTCTCGAAGTTTTTTTTGGGGGGGATTTTTTTCCTCGAGACGATAAAACAGCAGCACCTGACGTTTTCAGTGGCTGTTCGATTACCCCGCGCGCGCGTTTTCAGACATGTTAAGTGATAGTCAGTTACTATATGGTTACGAGATCTGACGTCATAAGTAGCAGATGGTCAAGCCATTTTTGATTGAAAATGCGTTTTTTTCAACTTTTTTTAACATTTAAAGTACAAACTGTGGATGAAATAATACAAAGTGCCTATTTACGTTTTATTTTACACGTCAAGCAAAAAAAAAAAAAAAAAAAAATTATCCCAATATTAACCTGATTTCTAATTCTTGGTAAAATCCAAGGTGGCGACCATTGTTGGTGACGCCGTGGGCCTCCAGCAGCGCCACCACCCATAAAATATACCTCACATTTTTGAAAAGATCAAAGGGTTTCCACTAAAGGTAAAATAGTGAGGAGGGGTTCCATCAACCCACTCCCCTTTGTATCACGGTGGGGTATGGATTTGCGTGTACGTCCAAGGGTTACAGTCAAACCAAGTCAAGCGTACCCCCCAAGATTCTATTAATGAATTGATTACTTGAAAAATGAATCCGTTAGTCGTTCCCGTAACTGGTGTCAAATTTAAAGCGGCATTTCTGCATGCGTAATGAGCAGTGAATATTTTACGAGAACTTCTCTGTATTTGGTCAGATTGGAAATCTTTGAATGGATTAAGCTTCTTAGAAGACATTTACATCAATTACAGGAAAATGGAGCTGGTAGAAATTTCATAACTGCCTCGCGTGTGAATTCACGGCTAATTACACATGCAAGAATGCAGAGATCAATCTGAAATCTACAACTAGCAACGGATTCAACTTTTGAATAATAAATTCATTAATGTATTCTTGGGGGGGGGGGGGG